CACCCTGTATATGTATATTGTATATATATTAATAATAATAATTAAAAACATTTAGGACCGATTTTTCTAATTTCTTAATCAATTTTACCCAACAGATAGCGATCTTCGTCTTTTTTCCAGAGAGGTTAAAAAAGATAAACATATGCTATTCGTCGGGTAAATAAATTTACCAAGAAGTTGAAACAATCAGCCCTTACAATATTATTTTATAAATATCAGAAATAAGAAATACACATACCTATGTGAACATATATCAGATTTCTTTCAGATATCATAAATAAGAACTCCATATGTTAACATGTATCAGATCTGTTTCAGATATCATAAATAAGAACTCAATATGTTGATATAATTTAGGTATCTTAAAGACGTTCAATTTGAGAAATCCTTTAGACATCATTTTCGTGATATCTTTTTGTTTAAAAAAAACGGCGCACTAGATAACATTCTGATATATTTACGTGATCTTTTAGAAACCTATCTAAGTTAACAGGTTCAGAAATGCGATATCTTTTAGAAATCGTTTTCATTTAACATATTGTTTTCTGGGAACGTTCATTTAAAATAATTAACGTTCAATTATGACTTTCGTTTCTGCAATAACATTGCAGTATAATACACATGTTAAAAAATGTACTTTAATTAAAATTTCATATAAAAAAGTGTGAGCATTTTTGTGTGAAATTGTACACTTTGTTAGAACATCCGGAACTACCAAGACGTATGGGAATAATTAATAATGCGAAAAAGTTTGATGCGGATTTCTTCGACTTTCCTTTTGAGCAAGCGCAAACATTTACACCTGAAATAAAAATATTATTGGAACATTCTTATGAGGCAATTATTGATGCGGGGATCAATCCGAAGCAATTGCGAGGAAAAAATACCGCCGTGATCATAGGGAACACCTTGTGTGAAACGCAATTTAACTTGATGTATACGGATCTTAAGGTAAAGAAAGTTATTGATAAGTATACCAGGAATAAATTATTATAAATTAATATATAGAAATTCATATGTTTGTATCACTCAAGTCCGAAAACGTGTAAAATTGTTAATTTTCTGTAATTAGCTAAATGGTCTGAATATTACTGGATGTTCAAAATCTTCACTGGCAAACATGATTTCGCACCATTTTGACCTGAAAGGACCATCACAAGTAGTCGATACAGCATGCAGCTCTAGTCTTTATGCCATAAACATTGGTTATCGTTGTATTATGTCGGGCCAATGCGAAGATGCGATAATTGGAGCTGCACAAATAAATATTAATCCAATTATAAATATGAACTTCTTTCGTTTAGGTACTCTTACTGAAATTAATTTTATAATACATTAAGTACAAAAATTAAATAATTATACATATATGTCTCTTTTAAAATAATAAATAAAATTTAACAGACTATGTAATTTCATTAAAAACATTTGTAATGCTAGTAAATAATTAACCAATGTAGAAAAATTAATAAACGATGCGACTAGCAAATTTTAATTTTAGAAATTTATTGCAAGAAATATATTACCTCAGCCAGGGTTTGAACCTGGACCTCCCTACACACTGAGGCATGTCAGTGGTCGAATTGGTGAGACGCTCGCTTAGAGTGTAGGGAGGTCCAGGTTCAAACCCTGGCGGAGATAATATTTCTCGCAATAAATTTCTCTAATTAGAATTTGCCAAAAATCTATATCCTTGTTTTATTTTTACATTTGTGTTTTTCAGGTGTTTTGTCACCGAATGGTGAATCCAGACCTTTCGATAAAGCTGCAAACGGTTATGTACGCAGCGAAACGGTGTCAGTGATATATCTTCAAAAAGCAAAGAATGCGAAAAGGATTTACGCTATAATTCCGCATATTAAAACAAACTGCGATGGTTATAAAGAAGAAGGAGTAACATATCCGTCGTCCCAGATGCAAACTACTTTGCTATCTGAATTTTATGATGAGTGCGGAATACCGACATCTTGCGTGGATTACATTGAAGCACATGGTACTGGTACCAAAGTCGGCGATCCTCAGGAAGTCAATGCTCTTCATAAGGTTTTTTGCAAGAATAGAGAAACTCCTTTAATGATTGGCTCCGTAAAATCCAATCTTGGTCATGCTGAAGCTGCAAGTGGTTTTTGTCAGCTTGCTAAGGTAAAATAAATGGTTTACGCATTTATTCATTATGTTTCAAATTTAACTTAATTAAATAATAATAAATTAATTTGTAATTAATTTATTAGTTGTATTTTATTAATTGTATTTTATTGTTTTTAAAGGTAATAATTGCATTCGAAACCGGTATTGTTCCACCACATATTAATTACACATCACCACGAGATAATATAGACAGCATAAAAAATGGAGCTATCTGTGTCGTTACAAATCCAATGCCACTTAAAAATGGTTACATAGGTATTAGTTCTTTCGGTTTCGGGGGAGCTAATGCTCACATGTTAGTAAAGTGGAACCCCAAACAAAAACTTGACAATAATGCGCCTAATGATGACCTGCCAAGACTTGTATTATTATCTGGACGCACGGAAGACTCAGTAAACTTGTTTTTAAACGATGTTAGTAAACATTTCAAAAGTAATTTTAATGTCATTTTGAGTAATTCAACATTATATGTATAATACATTTTGTTTTAAAATATTTTTGACCTTAGACTGCTAATCATCCGATAAAT